GTGTTCCATACCACCTGACGGGATTCCATACCACTTGGCATCAGCTCAGTATTTAAACAGGGAAGTTCCGGGAAGAGGGGGCTGCTGGGTACAATAGTTCATGTGCTGGTCGGGTGGTGAGCTGTTTGGTTCCGTGTACGACTTGTTACGCTGTGTATTCTTTCACTAACACTGTTGCTGTTGTTGTTGTTTGGTGTTGTTTCTCCCTTACTATTCCAGTAAACTGCTGGAGTCTCAACCCCTGAGCCCCGTTCGTTTATATTTTCTCCTCCCTGTACCACCGGAGGGTGGGGGGTGGGGCACGCAGAGACCTTTCCTGGTTAAACCACGTCAGAGTGTTTTCACCACCACAGCAAATATGACTATGAATTTTTTTGGTACTGGGTGTTTTTATGCTACAAGCTTAAGTGCTATGGTGTCATTAGTCGTGAGGAGCAAAAAATCTTTCCAAGGTATCAAGTCAGAAGGAGATTGTGATTCCTGGGATCTGTTCCAGGAAGTTTCTCTACTGGGAGGAGAAGGTCTTTGTCCACAGAGAATGGCCTCCCGTAGCAGAGAAAGGTTCTTTGCCATATTCAAAGCTGGGAAGGTTCCCTCAAAAAGCACTGGGCCCAGGGAATGATTCCCCCACTTGCAGCACCCTTCTGAAGATTGCCTGCAGCAATCTGCAGCCTTCCCTCACTTTAAGATCCAGAGGGACCCTCACTCTTAAAAAAGGTGAGAGTGCCCATCATGAATGAGAACACCTACCTCATCAGAAGACTGGGCATAAGTTATGGTATTTGACATCTGTCATGAAGCAGAAATTCCTGGAACTAAAGAGACTTTTCTGTCCAGAGGCAAAAATGACCATTCTGTTTACCTCTAGCTATATAATTAATGAACTGATGAAGGTTGAGTGCACCATATGCTGTAAAAAAAAAAAAAAAAAAAAAAAAATACTGACTGAACTTGTTGGTTTCAGTCTTGTAGCCTGGGCAGCAACAAATAATTCAGAGTCATTTCCACTCTCCTCTGCTTTATATAGAGAGGGACATGGAAAGTGGTGACCTAGTTTCAAAGAACAGTGTTATCTCAAATTACTCTTTTCTCATCTATACATGAATGCATCAGAGGGAAAAGACACTTGGACAAGCATTCACAAAAGAAAGAGCTGTGTCACAGATCTGAGTAAATGAACAAGCAGAGGAATCAGCAAGAAAAAAACTCATTACAAGTAATGTGGCTCAACTTCCCAGGGTAAGAAAACTGTCTTCCCACAGCAGTCCAGACACCTTCAGTTTTATTAGAGAGGACTGGCTAGGTGTCTCAATAAAGCTCACAAGGATGAAGAAGAATGAAATACATGCTTTTACTTAATGGGGAAAGCTGAAGTCTGCTAAGTAAGCAGCAATAAAGAAGCACAAGCACCACTGCCAGGTACTTCACTAGACATGATTCATAAAGCCAAGATTTACTTTAATAAGATGTGAAGAAAGAACTTTGCTGAGGTGCAAAAGCTATCAGAATAAAATCAGTCAGGGACAAAAAATGGAAACACGCTGATCACATTCCCATCTTCAGTCTCAATTGTATCATAAACCCATTTCCTATTGCAACGGCATTCTGGTCCACATTTGTTTGAATTGCATTTGGGGCAAGGATAGAAACAACCCAGACAGTTCTTTTCCAGGCAATCACACAAATCAATGTTATTACAAAGCAGCCTGCCATGTTTGTCGTATTTCTTCGTAGTTCTGTAAAGGGAATAAAAAGCGATTCTCAGATAATGCTTCAACATGTTCTAATACTAGATCAAATAAATGTGGAAAACATCTGTCCAGGAGCAAGTATTTCCTCTTTAACAACCTCACAGCATAATGAAATACCAGCATTATATCCTAATTGCAACAGCCACTATTATTAAAAATGAAAGTGTGCTAAAGAAGTAAATCAAAATTCTCTTAAGTCTCACAGAAAAAGCTTGTTCTCCCAGCATAGCTTTCATATGTAGTAAGAAATCTCTCTCCAAAATATTAATGTTTTTATTAATTTAATTTATATTTGGTAAACAGCATACCAGCCATTTTTTAAAGTAAATTAATTAGCACATCTTACTTGGGCTTATGAAAAAAATCTTGTTTCATCTGCGACATGCGTGCTTTCTTTTTCTGCTCTCTGGTTTCAGGATTGAAATCAGCTACCTGAGGTCCTGGATTTTGAAAAGCTAAGCATTTTAATTGTTTCTCGAGTTGTTGCTACAAATAAACAACAGAGATTTTATAATTAGTACAATTACAACAAATTATTAGCTGCCAAATGTCCTCACTGACTTTCAAATGACATTAATATTCTTGATAACAAAACAATACAGGTAGGAAAATGAAGCAAAACTCAAATTAAGATCACATTGTTTAAAATGTTTGCTTGTCTAACTGTTAATTAAGTATTCCTTTATTAGTCATTCCTGTGACTGACTGTGCACCCTGACAGGAGAGGGAACAACCATGACTCTGCATCCATGAATACATGATTCTGGTACAGTGGCATCGACTTTCAAAGTTGTCCTTTGGGAGGCAGAATAACGTTTTTTTTTTTTTCAACTTTATCCATAATGTGAAAACAAGTACTGTGATTACAAGTATCTCAACTGGATTCACTTTCATCTTTACTGTTCCCTCAGATGCCTAGAACCCACCTTTGTCCAAACGTGTGGGCAAGATAAATGTCTTGAGGAGCAACTAGTGCAGGAAGGAAGCAATTGCACAAGTGAGGAGTATGAATAAAAGCACAAAATAAAGAAACTAAACTGAGCACAGTTTTTGAGAAACAGGAGGGAGCATTTTCTTACCTGTTTAATGGAATTCATGTTTGCAATTAGCTAAAACTGCTGAATAGTTTTGGAGGCTAAAATATGGGCTCTGGGTACTGTCATTCTGCATAGCTCATGTATGTTGACAGCCACATCTAAAGTTGATGCAAACAAAACCAGGCATTGTGTCAAACACTTTCTTTTTGGACAGTGACTGTGGACATACATTGAACATACACTTGTTATTCATTATGCAAATGCACAAACCACATACAAATTTATTTTTTCTCCTCTTAGGTAAACGGAGATGACTTGCCACCCCTCAGCTTCCCTGGCAGGTGTCATTCCTTTCAGAGTCCACAGTGATTTTCACAAACAAGTGAGTGTCTTCATTGCTTCTCGTGGGGATAGCAATGGCAGTTCAGTCCAATGGGCTGACACAGAGATTGAGAAATATCCATGCACTTGAGTGGACTTATTTACAAGGTGGCTGATGCTGTGCATGTTCAGTTGCATCCTCCTGAAAGCTTATAGATCAATCTCATTTACCTACATTATTCAGACATTTCTGCTTTTGGGTCTGGCATAGATTTTTCAGTGCAGAAAATATGCTTCTGTATCATCATAGTCAATGACCATAAATTATGCAATTTCAAGTTGGAAACAAATAATAAGCCAATTGAGTTAGTTCTCCCTCTAAGAGTACTACTTCCTATTTCACTTGAGTTCAGAAGTGCTCTTAGCCCTCTAAATTATGGCACTGCAAACTTGACTCATTTCACTGTTGTTATTACTGGTATTTCCCTCTTGACTTTAGCTTGGTTTTGGTTTTGTTTTGGTTTGGTTTTTTAATGGAATAAATTGAAGGCAACTGTAAGTAACTTGATAATAAACAGATACTGGAGAAGTCATACCATTTTTTTTTGTGTTATCAAGCAGTCCTTAGTAAAAGAGACATTTCCTTCTGCAGATGTTTCCTGGGCAGAATTCCTTTTCTTGAAGTTTTCTTCTGCACGATCACCCATTTGATGACCCTTGATCTACACACACATGTTAGACATATAAAGAGATCCACAGATTTTAAGTGAAGGTTTTAAGGTAAGCAGGTGATACTGATATCCATAGTAGGCTTTTATATATTCTTAACCAACAGCAAATGCAGAACAAAATATGTCTCAGTATCAGCCTCGATTTTAAAACTGTGTTAAATTAATGTTACTAACAGAAACAAAAGCTGTATCACCAAAGCCACTCATTATTCAGTAAGCAAACCTCAGAAAATTTCTACTGCATAAATAACACAGAAATTGAAAGAAATGCTGTCAGCTCTGAATCTGTTACAGAGACTGCTTCACCACATTGTCTCCTTTAATGTAAAGGTGAGAAGCCGTATTCTCACAGAACACGCAAGAGCCAGCGGCACGCAGGAGCAGTGGTTTCGCTTACCATTAGGTGACACTATTGTCCCAGCTGCGGTTCTTTTTGAAAGTTAAAAAAAAAAAAAAAAAAACCAAAAAAAAAATGTAGCGGCGGCAGAGTTGAGGGGAAGAGGGGGCAGGAGGGACCTGGGCGTATTCTCTGACACCTAAAGACAAGTGTCAGAGCTGCGTGCATAGCAACTAGGCTATTCCCTGCAGATTCACAATTTTCTTTCTGAAGACTTCCACCAATGGACTAGAAAACTTCTTGGCTTTTAACTTTCAGTCCTTAGCTTTGCAAAAGATTTTGTGTATAACTAGAATGTGTAGCTTTTAGGTTTAAAAGAAAATAGTGCACCACTCACTCTGCTAACAAAGCACCCAGGGAGGACTGTGAGTTCTGTGAGTTTGTCCTACAAATGCCATCAATCTTCTCTCCCCTGTCACACACAAATGGTGGTAGCAGCTGTCCAGGATTGATGTTAACTACTTCTTCTTACCCATCCTGTGAAGCTACTTACTTAAAACTTTTTATGCAATATATGCAGTTCCAGTGCCTCAGACTTTAACCCCAAACACCTCCAGAAATATTTGAACTGTTTTGGAATTCCTCCAGTGCTTCCCCAGGTGCTGCTCCGCCTAGCCCACAGCCTCTGTAAGGTAGTGCAGTGGTCTTTCCCAGGTTACCCTGCACTTTAGGATTGTTTCCCAAACCCTGTCCCAGAGAAGATCTTCATTTCATCACTACCAAAGGGCCAGCACCTCTCTGAGAGAAGCAAGAGAGGAATCCAGTTCTTTCTGTAACAGCCCCTCTCTGCAGAGTGACAGTCAAAGTGGGAATAGCAATGAGAAGGAAGAGACCTTGTAGTAACAGGGATGCTTTTTTGAGAGGTGAAAAGAACAGCCTTCAGCCTGTTTCAGAGTGGGTTTCCCTTTCTTATCCTCAGTGACCTGAAGAATGACTGAAATTGTGACACTATTCACAATGGGATGCTCTACAGTAGGGGTCCTCAAT